AATTGGCTAAAGTGTTCTTTCCACCTATCCAGTTTACCCATTAGTGATTTTATGGGGTTTCCGAGATGATCTTTGAGGTTTGAGCTCGTTGCTTTAAATTTTCCATTGCAGCTTCGCAGGATGCTGTAGAGTAAGCGTGAGTCGTGGTTTTTGCTGGCCAGTTCCATTTCTTGGGCTTTTGCGTTCCACCAGGCCTCCTTATCCGCCTTAAGCTGCCTTTTAATTTGCCTGTTAAGGTAAAGGTATAGTTTGTGGTCAATGTTCTTTATTTTTGCGCGTTGTTCAACAAGATTTAGGGTATTAGTCGAAATCCAAGGTTTTATTTTCCATCGTTTTTTTGGGCAGATTTCATTAAGTGAATCAAGGATGGAGTTTTTTGTTGAGTTCCAGTTTTCGTCAATGTTGTCCGCTAACAGAGGAAAAACTTCACGCGTGGTAGCGGCCCCAAGCTAATGATCAATTTTCGAACGCCATCTTCCCACTTTATGGTAGGTGTCCACTTATCCAGCCACACAAGTCCTAAGATAATCGATTCATGCATTTTTGGAGCTACGATGAATCTAAGGAATTCATCTGAGGAGCCCTATCTGCAACTTTACCAAATCAGTAATTACTTTGGCAGGGCCATCTCCAATTAGCGTCCCATCCACTTGCTCAACCCAAATGGGATTGGCTAGGAGGGGTCTTGTGCGTATGCCTAGCTGCTCCACCATAGACATACTGATTAAGCATCGGGTGCAGCCTGTGTCCACGATTGCCTCAACTTCCCCTTCTACCCCCGTCTCAGGCACTATGAGTTTGGCTTTGATGGCAAAAGGGCGGATGGGTGCCCTTACCACTGGGTTGTCATCTCCACTGCTTCCTTCATCATGGCTTGGCAAGGGCCTGTCAGCTGGGCCTCCACTGATTCCTGGGGAAAGGGTTTGCATGTCTGAGGCTTTGCTGGCAAATTTAGCAGCCTGCCTTTTCCCAGGCAGCTTCATTTGCCTCTCTGCTAGTTGAGGTCCCTGGGGGAGATGTCCCTTCAGCAATTTTCCCTATCTTGCTACTGGCAGGGAATCATCTTTGGAAGGAGAAGCTTTTCCCTCTCCAAGCTTCCCAAGCTTTCCCCCACTCCACTGCTTTGTGAAAGGGGGCAGAGATGCTGTGCCTGATGCTGGTTTTGTGCCAGCGTGAATGGGGGTGGGGAAAGGGGTGGCTCAGCTGTTGTTCCCAGGTCTTCTGGTTCTCCTTGTTGGGGCATTGCACTGGGGCTGGAACAGGTTGGAGGTTCAGTCCCTGGGATTGCCCTGGGCCAGTTATCTGAAATGGTGCCATCTGTTGAGGAGGGGAAGATGTCCATGGGTATTGTGCGCATGCCTGGGAAGAAAATCTACTCCGGTGGGGCTTGATTCCCAGGCTGCAGCCCAAACGTTGGTGGCTGGCTAGGAGAAGAATCCCCCAGCCCCTCTGCTGCTGGCTGGATTGGCTTTTCCATTCTGGTTGAGGGGCCATCTGCACCTAAGGGAGGAGGGGCGCTGTCGTTGGTCTTGCTTCAGCAGCAAGGTATTGGGCTGACCTGCTTGTCACTGTATGGAAGAAGCATAAATCCCCCTCCAGTGTGTTGCGGAGTCTCTAGGAAGGCGAATGTGGGCTGGGCCATAGTTCACCTGGGAAGTTCAGAGATAAGGCAAGGGTTGATTCCTCTCATTTTCAGCGGTCTGAACTGGTTTGGGAGGCCGGACAGAGACTGACTGTGTGAGGGTGGCTGGGATCCCCAATCATCGGAGCGGCCAGTTGGCGTTTGCTTTGGTCCCCTCCAGTTGTGGGTTGAGGCTGCCCTTGCACCCCCTTTGGGCTCCAAAAGCAACTCCTTACAGGCGATAAATCCCGAGGCTTCATCTTGCAGATTCAAATCTGCCTGTGAGATTCGCCCAGAAGTCAGCTCTTTACGCCTGGCTCCCAGCTGGCGTTTCCTCTCCATGGCCTTTGCAGCTTCCACCACAGCTTTGGAAGGCACATAGATGGTCTCGACATAAGATAGGTGATCCGTCATCTGCTGCTTTCCTGTGGCTTTCTCCTCCTCCTCCATCTTCACTGAGTTTCTGCACTGCCCAAGCTTGGGTCGGTTCCAATTAGTTCCAATTTATTTATTCCAATTTATTAAGAGAGCCATGTTGGCACATCTGGGAAAACCCAAATCTGAAAGCTTTCCAGTTTTCCCCACCCAGTTGAAAATTCATGATCTTGCTCCCACACCCACAAGTCCATCACATGGACATCCTGGCAGTTCCACCCATCAAGTTTGGTCAGGTGCAGAGGTACAGAGACAAAGGATGACCTTGGCTTTCTAGAAATGAATGTTATTTTGGCTACATAGCATTTAACTCCGTACAATCCCCCCCTCCCATTTTCCCACAAAAGAAAAGGCATAGTAGAATAATAGAAAGTGTGGCAGGCCAAAGATCCAAAAGGAATATGGCTGCAGGCCTGACACAAGGACTGTGAGTTCTGCGGCCTCGCTCCAAGCTCTCCATGTCGGAGGGCTCCAAAAGGAGCCATAGCCACCCTGTAGGGATGGTGAAGTAAAGGGGTCGACTTATAGGTCAAGGAGAGCCCTGAATTGGAGAATCCCGCTCTTTGAAGAGCAGTGGTAGTCAACATGGCTGCCATGAAGCTGGGGACAGCCAGAACACGTAAGAAAGTGCAGGAGCAAAGAAAACAGTGAAAAGATATTGTTTCTAGGTGAAATGATTCTTCTACTTAAAAATTAACCCTAAGGAAAACAAAAAAATCTGATAAGAGACTCTAAAAAGAGAATTGTTTTAAGCTGTGAAAATAAGCACTTCCAAGGTCTATGTTGAAAAGTAAGTCAAGAGCAGAATCTATGTATGAATGGAAGAATGACTCCTAGACTCCTGGAAATTTACAGAGGAAAAAAGGAACATCTGATATGTGATAGCTGTAACTTTTAACTTATGACTTTTATGCTTATCAGAGGTGGAAATAAGAACGATGTTTTATAAAAACGTCTGGGAAGCTAGAATAAAAGACTAAAACCACAGAGAAGACTTAAAGAACTTGGAAAATACCTTGGATTATCAAAGTACTGAGTAAAGGTTGGAACTAGCTTATTTAAATAACTGACTTTGTTTTGAACGAAATTGATTTTGAGTGAAATAAATACCTGCTGGAAAAAAGGCTGCATGGAAATTTGAGAGGAGAGCCCCATTTATTAATAATTGGAAATTTGGACTCTTTCTGAACTAGTTTGCGGTTTTATTGTTTATTTCACCTTTATTGCTATTATGACTGGAGTTGAAGGAACAGCTGTGGAAATGAGTGGACTTTTTAATGAGATGACTTTGTTGTTCCAAAATATTATGGATTCAATTGATAGTAAAGGTGAGAAAATGGAAAACATTTTGCAAAGAACAATGAACAAAGATCAAACTGCCCATGAACTGGTGGAAGCAACAGAAAGTCTAGATGAAATGGATTGCTCAAGCCATAAAATTGAATACAAACAGGAATAAAATATGGATTGGAAAAACCAGCAAATGAAGTATCAGCTTGATGAAGAGGAAAACCAGATAAATGGCAAGTAAAAGGAGTGGAGAGAGCAGATGAATTGGCTACATTAACAAATAAATTAAGGACTGGAGCAAAAAAATAGGACTGAGAAACCAGGTAAGAGATAAAGGGAGAAAGTCAGAAGAAAATGAAACAGACAAATCAACAACTTGAGAGACAGGAAGATACCTTTGATAAGGAGATTGGGACACGAGCAGACATCTGGGAGAATTGGCAGTATAAGATTGTACTGGGAGAAAGGTTTAGATTGAACAATAAAGATATAAAGGAAGCTAGAGAAAGATGAGGAGTGTGGGAAGCAAATAAAAAAAATGGATAAGAATTGAAGCACTAAAGAGATGATGGTTGGAAAGAATTTCCCTTTAAATATTAAAGTAGCCTGAATTTAAGGTGAAAGAGGAATAAAATTAGATAGGGGAAATATTAGAATATAAATTTTTATAGAATGAATAAAAATAGATTAGAAGTTTACACATATTAGACATTTTTAATGTATGTTTAAATAATATGAGGATTACTTAAATTTGATAAATGTGCTAGAGATTGCTAACACTGTTAGCATGAATTGGATTAATATGAGTGATACCCAGAAAGAACTTTGTCTATATATATTAGAAAAAAGTTTAGATTGAACAAAAAAGATATAGATGAAGATAGAGATAAAGATGAGTTAGGCATTTTTGTTTATTTACGTTTAAACAATATAATGAGGATTACTTAAATTTGATAAATGTGATAGATTACTAATTATTACTGTGAATTGGATTAATATGAATAATACCCAGAACCAACTCTGTCCACACACAAAATGGATGTATATTAAAAAAATAAGTTAAAAGAAAATTTTACTTTGTACTTAACATAGATTTTCCCTAAATTAAAATTAAAGGGAGTAGATTTCCTTCTCCTCCTTCTTAGAAGAAATGTGTCATCTAATATGCTTGCATTTGAAGAAGACTTCAAGTGATGCCAACTGAGAAAAATAATCGGGTTATACATCATGCTACATTATTTTCTGCAACATACTTTATTCAAAAACATATAATTCATTAGACTCATATATTTTAAGATGTCAGTTACAAATGATAAACCAATAGATTTTCTAATTTGGGTACTAAGCCAAAACCAGATAATTATATTATACAGTAATACTGAAGTAATCAAGTAAGAAATACATTTGTAACAATTTAAATTTATTTATTTTACCCAGAGTTATTCTGTATTACAATTTGAAACTACTGAGTTAGGTTTTGTTTAACCCTTAACCACAAACCTGAGGTCATGACTGCAACAGTTTTCCGAAATGTTTGGAACACTCCTATTTTTAGAAATGCACCATTCCAGTTGTGAATAGAATTTATAAAATTTGTTAATTTGTAACTATACAAAGTAAATTTAACAACATATCTCACCTATTATTTTCATAGATTAAGAAAATTGTATGAGTGGTCATTATGACCGCATGCCTCTAATAGAGTAGCCAAAATAGTACGTCTGTGGTTAAGGGTTACATAAATTACGATTATGCATGAATTCATGCTGGAAACAACAAAGATTTTGTTAACATTTAAGAAATTTAAGAAAATTGTATTTTTGGAAGAATTTGTTCTCATTTTATTAGTCTTCTTTCAACACCTGTTAAATGATTTTTTAAAATACTTCATTTGATTCTTTTTCTTTTAGCAAGAACGGATCTAAGGAGCAAGATGATCAGATCAAGGATATGACAATTAGCCAATTTCAGGACTTGGATGATTTGGGATAGACCCTTGTCTGTCACGGTGGTCATGAACTCCTGAGCCACCTTAGACCCCCACTCACAGAGGGTTCACCGACAAATGCACGCTTGACAAAAGCGCACCAACAAAAGCATGGCGAGAAAAGAGCGAAGTCTAAATCGCGCCCACAGAAGCGCGCCGATAAATGCGCGCAGACGAAAGCGCGTTATCAACAAACCACGTGAAAACAAGGTAATAACCCTAACCCTAAGGTGATTTAGACCCTAAGGTGATTTAGTTGGTGAGTTAGACTCTTTTCTCGCCGCGGTTTTGTCGCTGCGGTTTTGTTGGGTGTGCATTTGATGGGTCACACTCACAGAGAAGGCAGATTAAAGTCTCCCAGGACCATAAGCCTGGAGAATTTCACTGCCAACCCTGAGAATGAGTTGAGCAACTAAGGCAAGGAGGTTGCTTCATACCAGGGACCCTAGTATAGAAACAAGAATCCTGGAACTGATATAAGGAATAGAGTCTCAAATTCAGCAACTTGTGGAACAATGCCTCTGAAAGCAGTAAGATACTCCTAAAAGTTATCCCTCCATATCCCTATCTCTTTGGTACACTCAGAACCTGGCTTGCCACATTTCAAAAAGGAACACATACACCACCACCCACGACTGAACCAAGTCTCAATAATTCACATCAAGTTGGCTTTGTTATCTGTAATTAAATCACAAGCAAAAAAGGCCTTATAACAGACAGCTTGCATAAGAAAAGAATCCAGGGGAATCTGCAGGAAACAAGACTCTGCAGGAAACAAGACAAAAAAGGCCTTATTAAAGACTGCTTGCATAAGAAGATAATCCATGGCAATCTTCAGGAAATAATACTCCAAAATAAACACAATTTTGGTAAAGGTACATTCACAATTCAGATATACATTCCAGAAACTGAAAACTACTGTATTTTTCGGACTATAAAACACTCCAGACTATAACACACACCCAGCTTTTGGGTAGGGAAACAAGAAAAATAAATCTGCAACTGCCTCCCAGCAATTTGCCTCCTTGCAGCAAACAGCCTGGTTTAGGTTTAGGTTTAGGTTTTATTGGGATTTATATGCCGCCCTTTTCCCTGAGGGGACTCAGGGCGGCTTACAACCACAGGGGAGGGGAAGTGCAAGGTCAAAACAAACACTTTGTGAACAAAAGAAAAATAATAAAACACAACTTTCATTCAGCAATCAAACACTCGGGCGGGTAATTGGAAGCCTATCCCCAGGCCTGCTGGGAGAGCCAGATCTTGAGGGCTGCGCGGAAGGTCTGGATCGTGGTGAGGGTGCGGATCTCCATGGGGAGCTCGTTCCATAGGGTCGGGGCAGCAACAGAAAAGGCTCTCCTCCGTGTGGTCGCCAGTCGACATTGACTGGCAGATGGAATTCGGAGGAGGCCCAGTCTGTGCGATCTGATTGGTCGATTTAGGGAGGTAATCGGCAGAAGGCGGTCTCTCAAGTACCCAGATCCACTACCATGGAGTGCTTTAAAGATGGTCATCATTATCCTGAAGCGCACCCGGAGACCAACAGGCAGCCAGTGCAGCTCGCGGAGGACAGGTGTAACGTGGGCGAACCGAGGTGCGCCCACTATCACTCGCGCGGCTGCATTTTGGACTAGCTGTAGTCGCCGGATGCACTTCAGGGGCAACCCCATGTAGAGCCCATTGCAGTATTCCAGTCTAGAGATCACAAGGGCTCGAGTGACTGTTGTGAGGGCCCCCCGATCTAGGTAGGGCCGCAACTGGCGGACCAGGCGAACCTGGGCAAATGCCCCCCTGGTCACAGCTGACAGCTGGTGGTCGAAAGTCAGCTGTGGATCCAGGAGGACTCCTAAGTTGCGGACCCTATCTGAGGGGTATAAAATTTGACCCCCCAGCCTAAGCGTTGGTGTATTAGCCAAATTATTGGGGGGGAAACACAACAGCCACTCGGTCTTATCCGGGTTGAGCACCAGTTTGTTAGCACTCATCCAGTTCTTAACGGCCTCCAGACCAACTTCAGCACAGCCTGATTTAGCACAAGCAGCTGATTAGTGGTTGGATCACCGTCCCAGAATACCTCCAATCAGCTATTCCAGGCTGCAGGGATCGCCGCTGCCCATTGCCGCCACTGTGCACTCCATTCTTGGCCTCTACTCATCCCATTTTTGCCCCGTTCCAAGTGGCGGGGATTGCCATTGCCGCCTATTGCCACCGCCTGGAATGGGCCAAAAATATGTGGAGGCAGAAAATGGGGGATGTAGAGGTGGTGATAGGTGGCGGCACTGATGGCTGGAGCCGATTAGCAGCGACAATCCCCACAGGTTGGAACGGCTGATTAGAAGTATTCAGGGAGGTAGATCCAACCACCAATCAGATACTTGTGCTAAATCAGGCTGTGCTGAAGCTGACCAGGCTATTTGCTGCAAGGAGGCAAATTGCTGGGAGGCAGAGACCGAAGGCGGATGGTTTGGGCTTCAGCAACATTCACTCTATAAGATGCACAGACATTTCCACACAGTTGGGGGAGGGGAGTGCATCGTATAGTCCGAAAAATACCATAATCCATAATGTATTAAATAACCTAATCTAGATTTCCCTAGGTATTACATGCTTTTAACTAATCTGATTGGAACCTATTGGGATTATAGTGTTTTTACATTATGAAACTTCCTTTTGGGTCATTTCTATAGCTGCACCAAATTCATTTCTCACAACAAACTAAGCAACAACACAATTTTAACTACTGTTTTTTTTAAAAAAAAATACTGATAATATAAACCCCAACTAGGTAGCTATATTCAAAGTACTTTAAATGGATAAAATGAAAAATAATTTTAAAATCCATACTAAAGTGAAATTTAACCTTTTGAATTTTACAGTAATTAATTATCAAGTTTAGCCATACAAGTTGGAAAAGCCAGCAATAATGTGCATGAGTAGAAGAACAACAGGTATTCTATCCACATAATGTTAATTTAATTAAGTTGAGATACAGAAATTGTAAGCATAAATTATAGCATTCAGAGTTCTAAATACTACGGCTAGATTACAGTAGATTATTTCAACAATATATAAATGGAACCTATTAATGACTTCGTTCACATGATGTACTAAACCAAGTTGTGATTTGGTTCATAGTTCTCGACTTACAATTGTAATTGAGTCCAAAATTATAGTCATAAATTACTGGACTTGTTAAGCAGATCACTATGTGATATACACAATTTTATGACCTGCTTTGTGGCAGTTATTAAGCAACTGCTGGGGTCTTTAAGCAAATCCCTTTTAGCCAATGAATTTTTTTTTCAGAATCCAGAATCAAACCCTGGAAATTTAAAAAAAGTGCTGAGAATCATGGTCATGTGACAGTGGGAATTACAAAAAGCTATAAATGTGAGCCTATTATCATATATATGTGTGCAGCTGTCAGAACTTCAAAATTGGATTATAGGCTATGGGAGTCTGTAATAAATTTGATTATTAATCGTCTGGTCATTAAGCGAGAACTATTTGTATAGGATATCCAAATTACAATGTAACACTTCTTTTTATCTGCAATTAGTAACTATGTTTTTTGTTAATTTACTTTAATCTAGTCTTTAAACAGCTATTATTCCTGCAGGAAAATAGGCTTGCTTAAAGTAGCATTCATTCACAAGCAGACTAATTCTTACATTGCTCAGACGATTCCATTGTTTTTTCAAACACTGAGGTTGATTTTTCAAAGCAAGAAGTGAGGAAAAGAATGTGCCTTCCTCAAACTCAAAGAGGTTGTTATTAGCCAAAATAGAAAAGAAGAGCTTCCAATTAACCAGGATTACAAAAGTATTAGGAAAAGAGACTTATGCTTGGCTTATGTTTTCTATGGAAACTGGCAAGAGACCAGTACGTTTCTTAAACATGTTTAAAACTAAAGGGTTAATATGAAATAGAATACTATTCTATATATAAGGCCTGATTTAGTATTATATACATAAGATTGGATCAATCTTTAATCTAAGTATTCTAGATCTTTAATTTATACACATTTTAGTAAGCAAAATAGCAAATTAGTAGAACCTGCCATCACAAACAATTTTGTTGTATTAAAGGTAGGCAAAATGTTTTCAATATGGAAAAGTACATTTTGAATTCAAAATATCTATATTTAATGTATGGGATATATTGGAATGTTTCAAGCATTCTGGAAAACTTCCATATCAACAATTTCATATTCAAAACAATTGTTCTGAATTCAAGATATCTTCCACACTAGACATAGACCTTTGAGCTCAAATAATTGGTTGAGGGATGCATAAAGCCTTAAGTTTTTCTGTTTGGTTTTGGCTAAGCATAATGTATAAATCCATTCCCTACAATTTGTAAATTCTGATTTATTAATAAGCGCTATATAAGAACCCTGTGATTGAGATTTATTTGAATAAGCATACATAATATGCTTACATAAGTATGCACAGGAAAGCCCTTAGAGCTCTTTAAAGACTAATCCCTAATCACTAGCACTGATGATGTTATCTAGTTTGGGTATGGTCTGCAAGAAAACAACCAAGCTCAGAGCACCAAAGACCCTTCAAGGACCCTGAACTACAGATATTCTCATTTATTAAATACTAACCCATAATACGTAGTATAGTTAGTTAAAACGATGTATTGCTACCTATTATTTTCTAATAGATTTTTTACAATATTTATGTTTTATGTTTCATACATACAATTTTCAGACTAAAATTCTTAAACTACTAGTAAAAAACACTAGTTCCAGTGGAATATGCCTCCAAGTATACATATTTAAGACTGTATTGCAAGCATATTGCAACAAAAAGTTCTCCACATGCATAACTAATCTTGTTTTGAATAGCCTAAAACAGTAAATCTATTTTCATATTTAATTTTTTTAAAATCTAACTGAAATACTAGCATCATTTTAAAAAATAAGCAATAGAACAGCTAAGAATAGCACAATCCTACCTCTCTTTTCTCTTTGTTCTCTTTGTCTTCAGCATCCCTTTGCCAAACACTTTTCATATCAAAATCAAAAGGACCCTTTTTAGGTTCATAGCTGGCTGGTTGATCCGATTTAAATTCTTCATGAATCATGTAGTCTGGAATTGCTGGGGAATGAGATCTGGAGGCACAAATGTTACCATTATTCACTATAGTTTTTCCCATCAAAGTGCAAGACATAAACAAGCGATGGAACATTTTTTAAAAATTTCAACATTCAACAAAACCATTCCCTCATTGTAAAATTAAATTAACACTTCTCATGAAGACAGAATACTTACTTAGAGTCATTGGCTGCTTTTTTGCTATGATGTGAGTACCATTCAGGTGCACCATAAGGCCCCAGGGATACTTTTTGTGGAGTAGGGGGTAAATGTCTCAGTAAATCTTAAAGATATTTAAAAATATAAAATATATTTAAACAACTGCAGATTTTTAAAAAAGATAATCAAATAAATTATGTTTCCTGCATACTGTTAGAGCAAGTAAAAATATTAAAATACTTTTATATGAATCCACTAAAGGAGAACAATATCTAAATATAAAAGAGATTTTGATGCAATCTCCTCTTTTTTTACATTTTGCTTTTAAAATCTATTGATGGCTGTATTTGAAGTAGGAATAACATGATGTGGAAGACAGTGTTTAACTGTTTCATATTATGCTACTGTAGATTCTTTTAAAAAATTACTTTACAATGATATTTGAAAAACAAATTATTCACCTTTCAGGAAAATAAGAGAAATATTTAATATTTAAAAGAAATCAAAATGTCATATAAAAGCCATATCTCCAGAATAATTTATTTTGCTTTCCCTTCATTTCGTTTCTTCTCTGCTATATGTACTCTAAGACATTGAACATTCAAGAGAATCACAATCTTAATTCTTTTTTTTAAATTAAAAAATATTATGCTCCTGCAAACCTCAGGATTCTTCCACGCTTGCTGATCACTCCCACTTGTACATGCCCCTTGCCAATTTGATTATATTAGCTACCAGAGATTTCCCTGAATATTGAAAATAACATATATGACAATAATTTATAAACTGAAGAGTATTCGGAAATAGATTGATTTTAAAATGTAGAAGTTATTTTACAGTTTTGGATAAATTTAATATTTCAATTTGATATTTCAGGGACTCTGCTCCAAGATAGCCAGATGTGAGGTATTGTAATTGAGATTCAGTATAAGGGAACAGTTGGGATTGTTGGTGTTATCACCCACCTTGCTACCTGATTCTGTTGCTGGATTGACAATAGAGTCCTAAAGGCTGTTGATCTTTGGGGGTTCAATTTGCTATTGGGTAACTGAATCTGGGGAGGCTCAGAAGAGTGTGGCTTCTGAGATCTGTCCCAAATAACTGACAGTGAGGCGCATGTCAATGTTCACATGCTGGGTCTAGTTTTTATCCTGAAGTGGTGGTGGACATTAGGATCAATTGTAGACATATTATTCCTTGGTTGTCTTTTGATTCTCTTTTGATTCTCCCATTCCTTTAGAGAGACAGAGCTTATTCAATTGGCTTTCTCCAGGCAATTGATGGATCAAATGGGGTTCTAAAGAGAGCCTGGGGTTTTCCCTAAAGATTTAGTGAGCAATTTGGATTGGACCCTAACTGCTGCCTGGAGTGGATGGGTGACTGTCACCTTAGATTATATTATTCCTATATGGCCTCTCATGATGCATTCACCCTAGGTGCATATTGGTTTGCTGAGGAGCTCCAGAAGATGACATACCCAATTCCTTCAACTGTTCTTCATATGTTTTAGCCTTCAGTCCCCTAATCATCTTTGTTGCTCTTCTTTGGACTCTTTCTAGACTCTCAACATCTCTTTTATATAGTGGCAACCATAGTGGGATGCAATATTCCAAGCGTGGTCTTACTAAGACATTATAAAATGGTATTAACACTTCACATATCTTGATTTTATCCCTTTACTAGCTGGATACCCGTGCTTCTCTACGAAACCATGTGATCAGGCCAGCCCGCAGGCTGGATGAGTCATGTGGTGGCCAAGCCCATATAAGGCAACTGACAGTTGGAACAGAGTTCCTTTCACTTAGGGAGGAGTAGTAGAATGTTTAACTTCTTAAGCATTGACACAGGTCAATATAATACTGTATAAGAAATATTGATGATCTGATGGTCATTTCCACAAAACCTTTCTTAGGGAGCACCTTGAAGCCAAGAAGAATATACGTGCTGAAGTTCACATTTGTAGGCTTTACAGTTCTGGAGATTTCGTGATGAGTGACTCTCTCTCTCTCTCTCTCTCTCTCTCTCTCTCTCTCTCTCTCTCTCTCTCTCTCTCTCTCTCTCTCTCTCTCTCTCTCTCTCTCTCTCCCTCCCTCTCTCTCCCCCTCCCTCTCTCTCTTAAAAAGATGAGAGAGGCCTATAATTGACATCATAGGTAGACCTCAACTATGAGAGACAAATGAGAAAACAAATCCAGACAATCACATTGTCTGATTTTGAAAGAATTTTTTGGCAAATTATGGTGGAAAATAAATATTTGGTTAATATCAAAAGTTCATCACAATACTTTGTTATATATCCTTTGTTGGCAATGACAGAGGTCAAACATTTTCTGTAAGTCTTCACAAGATTGGCACACATTGTTGCTGGTATGTTGGCCCATTCCTCCATGCAGATCTCCTCTACAGCAGTGATGTTTTGGGGCTGTTGCTGGGCAACACGGACTTTCAACTCCCTCTAAATATTTTCTATGGGGTTGAGATCTGGAGACTGGCTAGGCCACTCCATGACCTTGAAATGCTTCTTACGAAGCCACTCCTTCGTTGCCTGGGTGGTGTTTTTGGGATCACTGTCATGCTGAAAGACCCAGCCAAGTTTCATCTTCAATGCCCTTGCTGATGAAGGAGGTTTGCACTCAAAATCTCACGATACATGGCCCCATTCATTCTTTCCTGTACACGGATCAGTCGTCCTGGTCCCTTTGCAGAGAAACAGCCCCAAAGCATGATGTTGCCACCCCCGTGCTTCACAGTAGGTATGGTGTTCTTTGGATGCAACTCAGCATTCTCTCTCCTCGAAACACGATGAGTTGTGTTTCTACCAGTTCTACTTTGGTTTCATCTGACCATATGACATTCTCCCAATCCTCTTCTGGATCATCCAAATGCTCTCTAGCAAACTTCAGACGGGTCTGGACATGTACTGGTTAAGCAGGGGGACGCATCTGGCACTGCAGGATCTGAGTCCTTGGCGGCGTATTGTGTTACTGATGGTAGCCTTTGTTACGTTGGTCCCAGCTCTCTGCAGGTCATTCACTAGGTCCCTCCGTGTGGTTCTGGGATTTTTGCTCACCATTCTTGTGATCATTTTGACCCCACGGGGTGATATCTTGCGTGGAGCCCCAGATCGAGGGAGATTATCAGTGGTCTTGTATGTCTTCCATTTTCTAATTATTGCTCCCACAGTTGATTTCTTCACACCAAGCTGCTTGCCTATTGCAGATTCAGTCTTCCCAGCCTGGTGCATGTCTATAATTTTGTTTCTGGTGTCCTTCGATAGCTCTTTGGTCTTCACCATACTGGAGTTTGGAGTGTGACTGTTTGAGGTTACGGACAGGTCTCTTTTATACTGCTAACAAGTTCAAACAGGTGCCATTAATACAGGTAATGAGTGGAGGGCAGATGAGCCTCTTAAAGAAGAAGCTACAAGTCTGTGAGAGCCAGAAATCTTGCTTGTTTGTAGGTGACCAAATACTTATTTTCCACCATAATTTGCAAAAAAATTCTTTCAAAATCAGACATGATTGTCTGGATTTGTTTTCTCATTTTGTCTCTCATAGTTGAGGTCTACCTATGATGTCAATTACAGGCCTGTCTCATCTTTTTAAGTGGGAGAACTTGAACAATTAGTGGCTGACTAATACTTTTTTGCCCCACTGTAGATTAATGCAGCCTAAGGCTGTGTTGGCTTTTATGGCAACTGAAGCACACTACTGGTTCATATATAAGTGACTGAACACTAGGGCTGCAAGATCTCATTCACAATTACTCCTGTTGAGCCAGGTACTATCTATTCTATAGCTGTGCATTTGTTTTTTTCTTGTCTAAATATAAATCTTACTTTTCTCTACACTGAATTTCATTTTGTTAGATAGGGCCCAATGTTTAACCCTGTCAAAATCCTTCTGTATCTTGAGCTATCATCTGGAGTATTGTCTATTTTTGCCAGCTTGGTGTCATCTGCAAATTTGATTAGTTCCCCTTCTATCCCCTTGTCTAAGTCATTGATATTGAAGAGTACTGAGACTAAGACAGCCTTGCAGTACCCCACTGGAATTGAAGCAAAAAACCAAAAATAACATGGTCTCATAAGTAGCAAGAGAGATCTAAGATGTTTTCTTATTGTTCAGAGTCTTAAAATGGGTAAGAGAAGCCCTTGAAAAACTAAGAACGACACTGTCAGATGGAAAAATAAAATGTTCATGCTTCCTTTTGTTATATTCTATCTTCAGTTTCCAACATTTCAAACAGTAATTTCTTTCTTTGTCTTCACATAAAAATACTCATATAAACCTTTTGAATAGCTTTGATATTTGTTTAATTAAATCACCTGGTCGACCACCTTGCTTTGCCAATTTTACATATTCTGAATCAGTATCCTTGATCCATTTTCTTCGACCCCCAAAGGTAATGTCATTGTGAGTATCCCCAAAATCACCAAGACCTGGAATCTGAGATGTTGGCTGTTGTGCAACTTCTGAACTAACTTGTTCCTCTGATCGTTTCAGGGGGATGTGATAATACCAATCTGTAATGATAATAAATAATGAATGATACATGTGTTAAAGGCTATATGATAAAATGGGCAACATTTATTATTTGGTTACCAAATAATGCTTCATTTATGGGAGAATATATAGACAAGGTTGGGAAAAAAAAGGGACTTTTTTTAATACAGACAATAGCAACAAGGATTCTGCATGGAACAGATGGAAGGCCTCACATATACTCATAATGTAAAAATAGATGGTAAAATTAAGGAGTTGAGAAATTAATTGCTTTGAATAAAGAGATAACTTTATCTAGCTTTGTTTCTTCTTGGAACCTACTCTTAGATTTTTGTTTGAAATGGAAAGAAATGAAATGTTAACCTTACATTTTGATTTGATTTACTTATGATGATACAAGTGCTTGTTATGATTTATTCAAAGAATTACTGATTTTTAGGTTTTTATCTGTATCGAAATAAGTTGAAAGTTATCTTTTTTCAATAGTTTTCCCCTTTTTATTTGCACTCTCCAATTTTGTTTTACCTATTCCTTTCCCTTTTAAAAATGATTTTTCTTTGCTTTTTATGCTTATTTGTAATTTAATAAAGTTTTGAAAAATAATAAAATTTGGAATATATAATGACTAGAGGCCCAGTTAGCTTTTGAGTAGTGTGCTAGGAAAATAAAGGGCAGTGCTAGGACAAAATCAAAATTGGATACAAATTCCTTCAGTACTGTCAGGCCTAAAACAAAAAATAACGTAGTGATTTTTCCAAGCTATGTTTATTTTTTATTTTTTCACTTCTATAGACAAACTCTTTTCTGACTGATAACTCTACTATTTGTATCTATAATATACTCTATCAACTATTAGGGAAGGGCTATCTTCATCCTCTCTCAGAGATATGGATTAAGCTGCTTCCTATTTCTTTGGCGTGCACCTTCTCCCTAGTCTTGAAGTCTATAAAATTGGCAGTTTCTCAAGTCATTCATAGCTTGAGTATTTCTGGCATGCAAGGAAGAGCAAAATAACGTTATCAGATGTTTAAACAGAACACTATGCTACACTTGGTTTGGGCAAAATCTGTTTCCAAATTTGTGTTTGGTTTCTTAAGAGAGCTTGTGGCAGCCAAGTGTCCTCCACTGTCTGACTTTTCTGCTTCAGTTAAATGTGGGCATGCACCCTAACCTATATGGGTTCTTCTGTTAAAATCCTTTCATGTTTCACTATTCACAAGGGGCAGCAACTTGGTAATAGGCTTGCATCCTCAATTTCTACTCTCTTTTTTTGCTGTAACTTCATAGCCAGAGCTGTATTAGTTCTTGCAGAGTATCTGATATTTGGTTTTCACCAACTCATCTAGAATTTCATCAGCCAACCTTCCTGGAGTTGATCAATCAAGACTGCTTCATTCCACGTTAGATCCTAACTAATCAATTTGAAGTTACTTGTATATTTGGACACAGAAAGTGTGTTCCTAAAAGTAGCATTAGTTGTTCGTGCTTTCACTGGAACAGAATACATAGTTTATCGATGCTGGCTAAATTTAACATATTATCCAATAAAGGTCTTTGCTGTTCTAACAATGGTATAGCCATTTAGCAGTTGCTCTCTTCAGTAAACTTATGACAAACCCAACTTTAACTCCATCTGATGGAAAGTCTTTAGTCATATAAATGACACTGAGCCCAGAAGGTAGGAAACTGAGATAACCGAAGAAGCTTCTTGGATGAGAAACAAAATGTCTTCAAAGAAAAACAAACTCCAATTACCTTTTGGAAAAGCATCTTTGTGACAATTGTGACCTAATTGACTGAGAATCTCCAGAGAATTGACATGAAATTCCACCAAACCTTTCAACAAACAATAGGATATTTTTGATAGGGGCAAGTTGCCACTCCTGCTGCTGCCTAAGTCTGCATTGCTTCAAATGAGTAGAACAACTTGCTGAGTTAATTGATCATTTTTGGTCACCAGTCGTTCTACACTGAGTTATTGCAATGCTTTTTTTTCAAGATAAAACAAAGTTTTATTCTTAGTCAGTTAAGAGTTAAGGTGAATTAGAAACAAACTGTTCTGTTTTTCAAGGTTGATGACACACACACAGTACTTTAGAAGCAGGAATAGTTACTGCAATTCAGGCAGATAATAGTAGGCATGAATGTAATTCAAATGCCCAGTAAAGAGCACTTACCTGTGGTCTGAATACATTTCATTAGGATGCTGGTCCTCTATAATCAAGATTGTTTCAGATTTTTTTCCCACTTAAACTACATAATATTCTTGAGGGTTTTCTTTTATACCTTTTATTAAACTGCTCACAGAATATATTGAATCTTGATTATTACTTACAACTTTATCTGACTTCCCTATTCAAATTTGTCTATACTATCTTCAGTGGGGCTGGTTTTTCTCTATTTACATTTTTACAATCCAGCTACATAAATATAAAAACCATATATAGTTTTATATATTTTGTTGGACATTTCCATTTTTAGTTTATCTGTTTAATATAATTATCCTAGTTAATCAGAGAAAGTTTTTTTAAAATCCTAGAAATGCTCATTTTTTCCACAAATTTATTTTCTGGCAGCCTGCATTCAGTTGTCCATGACCTCGATACTTATTTTTTGTTTTTCTGAGAAAGAATCCCATTTATCTGTCTTATAATATAACTTCTGCTTAAAAGATTTTGATCAAGAATTTTAACTATTTCTATGGTTCCACAAAAGAGTCCATCAGACTATTTAATTGTATACACCTATTTTCTTCATACTTTCTATCTTGTAAAGAATTATAAGCTAATATGAATGTTGATCCAGCTTTATTCTCCCTGTCTCACGTATTTCTTTTGTTTGTTTCTTCATTATCTCCATTTTGGAAGTATTTTCCTCCAATATTATTACATTTATATAGATTATATCATAACTCCTCAATTAATTCTTTGTTTGTTATATTGTATTTATTAAATATTTCATTGAAATAACCATCAAAAGTCTTCTAATATTGTTTTTAAAGGGGAGGGATTTCATTTTTTCAAACCTGAATTGTAGATTTATAATTGTTGTTATAAATGTAGAAAATAATTGTTAAAAGTCTAGCAGTTAGTTGCTCTTCTCTCCATTATAGTATATACTTTCTTTTCTAAGAGTAGACATTAAAATTTAGGGGTAATCTTGGATATTTCTTCTTTACTAATACTGATCCCTCTATGACCCATTTTAGGGATGTCTAACAATATCCTCTTCTCCTCTTTCAGATGGTGCTATCAGTACAAATAGTCCCCAACTTATTACCACAATTGAATTATGATTGTAAGTCATAGTGGTTAAATGAAGTCCCCATGTAATGGCCTCACATAATATCCACAATTTCTGCTTTCCTTATTGCAGTCAATGTGCCCACACTGATCATTAAGTGGAGCACAGGGTGCCTCAAAGGATGGGGCAAAGTCCTGGGAGATGGAGGCATAGACCACACTGCAGCACCTCTCCAGATCACACATGGCCTGGATCTTCTCCAACCCTAGGCACCCTTGCAATGCACACTTTCCCATCCAGATGGATTCTACACCTTTGGACCTCCTCTCCTAGTCATACCTTACTCCACTTATCTTTTTCAAAGATCATCTTTGCAAAGAAACCAGACAATCCACCTTGCAGCCTTTCTGTACAGAAGCTGGAAGCAGGTAATATCTTGTGAGCAGAAGCAATTCTTGTTATAAGAATGGACAGACTGCAAAATGCCTGAATAGTATTTATGTGATTATTGGGGTGATATATGGCTGTAAGTTTAGATACAAGTTCTAAGATTCCTTCTTTCAGTGCCATCATAATTTTTGAATGGTTGCTGAATGAATTGTTTTGAGTCAAAGACAACCTGTATTTTCTAACTATCTGTGTTTCAATACAAAAGTCTAATATGGTTATTATGATTCAACTCTTCTTTTTCTCTTCTCTAACATGTCTCTTTTATCTTAATGTGAAAAGTTGTTAATTCCTCTGTGCTCAGTTCTTGATAAAATATAAAAAATAGTTTTTTGTTAATCTCCCGCCAATATAGACTGCTTAATACTCAACATTTGTTATTAATTGTCAGGTTCAATTTGCATTTTACTTGAATCTGATTTTGTATTTGAAAATAAAGGGACATTTTCTTTCTTCTAAATTTGTAGGGTTTCTTTATTACTTTAAATTTCTTGTTCATTTCCAATATTAACTACTTTTTTACACCAGGGATTGTCCGTTATCACCTCCCACCCCAATTCTTGATTGCTTATTACAAGGCTTTATATTGTAAACTAGAGAAGATATTTATCAATGTCTTTTTTACCCATATTCCTAGGCAAAGCAGAACAAAGATCCCTTCCCTAAAACTCAACTTCCCTTCAGTTTAACATAGTCCTATCAATTTAACCCCAAAATAATTTCAAAGTAGCTCAGATTTAATAAGCTAAACATTAAATATAAAACCTGTAAATTGTATTCATTATTTATCAATATAATAAAAAGAACATTTATAGCATCCACCAGGCGCAGCAGTGCAGAGGTTAGAGTGCAGTACTGCAGGCTACTTCTGCTGATTGCTGGCTGCCTGCAATTTGGCAATTCAAATCTCACCAGGCTCAAGATGGATTCAGACTTTCATTCTTCCGAGGTGGCTAAAATGAGAACCCAAATTGTTTGGGGGCAATATGCTGACTCTCATAACTGCTTAGAGTGGGCTGTAAAGCACTGTAAAGGGATATGTAAGTCTAAGTGCTACTGCTATCAAACTGTAGTTTATCCCTTCATCTGACTACAATCTCCCTCCATGTAAGCTTTATTGAGAGATGGAGGTACCAATCCTCTTAATTAATTTATAATTGTTGGTCTCCTATTTTGCTTTCTAAATCAAGAAGCTAATGCAAATCTTTATTCTTCAATCCCACTACTGCATTAAATTTTCTTAAACTTTTTTATTTATTTAAATAAATCATTAAATTACCCCTACTATGTCTTCCAGTTCAAGGGAGTTTTATGTTCTCTCAGTTATGAC